AAAACCAATCCTCTGACAGCAAATGCAACGCCATGTCTGTAGGCCTCCACCTCTCTACAGAGAGGACGCAAATGTTTCGTTATCAACCTTCCCTGGCCAAGATTGGTCATCACATATGATCTGAAGTCTGCCATTTTATAGCGTAGAATATATGCTTCTTTAAAAAGTCTGTTAAGAACTAAGAAAGCGCCATAGGCAGCTGACAGGCTTCTGGGACACCAGCTGGGTACGGCCATGCCAACTCCCCCACAAAGAGGGACGAATCCGAAGGGGGTGGGAAAAGGAAACAAACATTTATTAAGCCAGGCCCTGCGCTAAGCGCTTCACAAATATCTCATTTGGTTTAATTGAATAAGGGCAAGGAGACATTTCGTCGCGGGCCCTTCCGTGAGGTAGGTGTCGTTGTCCCGGGGGCCACCCGGGGGTCTATACGGAGGCCGGCGCTGGGCCCCTTCCCACCTCCATTCGCTTCTCCCCCAGCTATCAAACGCCTGTCAAAACTCCCTCTCAACTGCGCAAGTCCATTCCAAGTTGGCCCCGCCCACTTTGTTTGTCCTGCTTTGGAATTGGCTCTTCTCTAACTTCCGGCATCCCCGGGGGCTTTCCGCTGTCATGGTGGCCTGAGGTTTCTGCCGTCGCGCTGGTCGCTGCGGCCGTCCATCAGGCAGCGGAGTTGCTGGCCCCGCTGACGGGGATGTGACCGCGGGCCCCGCCGGCCTGTCCCGGGCTCCGCGCCAGCTCTCCTGCCCGTCTCCCGCCTTTCCCTCAGCCCGCCATGGCGGGGTCTGGCTGCGTGTGGGGCGCGGAGCCGCCCCGCTTCCTGGAGGCCTTCGGGCGGCTCTGGCAGGTGCAGAGCCGGCTGGGCAGCGGCTCCTCGGCCTCCGTGTACCGGGTGCGCTGCTGCGGGACTCCCGGATCGCCGCCCGGGGCCCTCAAGCAATTCCTGCCGCCCGGCACCACCGGGGCCGCGGCCTCGGCCGCCGAATACGGCTTCCGCAAGGAGAGGGCGGCGCTGGAGCAGTTACAGGGCCACCGAAACATTGGTAACCGTCATCGCCGTCTCCCCGCGCCCAGGGTCACCACTCTCCCCCCACGGCCCGGCTCACCTCCCCCCTCCCGCAAGGCCCCGGTCACCCTCCCCCCACGGCCCTGGTCACCCTCCCCTCGCCCCCGGAGCACCCCTGTTCACTGCGTCCCCGCCTTCGGGGTCCGTCCCCTACACCCTGGACGCTCCTCTTTTAGTCGTCCTTTTCCCGAAGAGGTCACTGTGAGCTCCCAGGGTGAACGTTTTTCCTCCTTTCCGGTTAATTGCCTGTGGGAGGGGGGCAGAGTGGGACAGGGAGGCTTCGTCTTAGAGGCCTTTGCCACCGTGGGTCAGTGGTATGAAATGTGTTTTCACCTCATCGGTGTCAGGACCCAAAAGGGACGTCGTTTTGCTACACAATGACCTCTTATACAGGATCTCTCCCCATGTCCCCCAACAGGCTTTTTCAATTCAATAAACATTTATTAAGTGCCCACTATGTGCCAGGCACTGTCTATAAGTGCTGGAAAAGAAAGGGAAATGTTCCAAGTGCCCGTAATGTGAGTACTGTTAAATTAGGTGCTGGTACCAAGATATACTCCTCTGTGGCTTATAACTGCCTTTAATTGACACTGTGCTCAATTATAGAGGAGAACCTACCCAAGTATTGTTCTCTGAATCTGTGTTATTTGGCTTGGCCATAAACAGATACCTAAAAGCATTTAACACAAGTAGAAAAATCACTGCTTCATACATAGTAGGCACTTAAGAAATGTTTTTGTTATTTGTTATTCAGTCCTGTCTGACTCTTCATGACCTCGTTTGGGTTTTCTTGACAAAGGTACTGGTGTGGTTTGCCATTTCCTTCTCCAGCTTATTTTAGTAAATGTTTATTGTATGAATAAATTAATCTGGAGTTGTAAAACCTTGGGCAGGTAATAGCTATTATTTATTATAATAATTGTATGACTTTGGGTAAGTCACTTAATAGCTGTTATTTATATTAGTTATTATTACAATAACAGCTATCACTTACATAGCACCTTAAGATTTGCAAACTGCTTTACAAAATTATCTCATTTTATCTTTACAACAACCCTGGGAGGCAGGATACTATTATTATCTCCAGGTTAAGTGACTCCTTCAGGGTCACACCTCTAGTTAGTGTCTGAGATTGGCATTTGAACTCTGGTCTTGCCACATTCTACTGACTGAATCACCTAGCCTCCATGTGGGCTTCAGTTTTTCCTATTCTGGAAAATGAGGACTTAGTCTAGATGATCCATAAGAACCTTTATAGCTCTTAAGTCTGTGATCCTAACATGGTTACCATTTTTTCTGGATGATTTATTTTGAAATAAAGATACCTTTTTAAGAAAACTAAACTAACCTATATTATGAGGATATAGTCATGAAATAGGTCTGAAGATATAGGGTCATTTTATGCGTTTGTCAATACTGTAACATAACAAAATCTAATATTCTTTTCTGTTATATGAAATGTAATTGTTATTGAAGATTGACCATGAAAACTGCCTTCCTTTATTATCCTAAGGCTCATGATAAACATAGGATTATCTGTAGCTATTTTAGCAAAAGGCAGCACTTTTCCTTTTTGGTTTGCTGACAGTTTTCAAATTCCTTTTAGAAAGAAGAAATTCATACTACGAGTGATATATCTATATATCTATATATTTGTACTGATTGATAGATGTCTCTCTATGATACTAGTAAATACGAAGAGAGCTTAAGAAAAATATTAAGGCCATAAAATTCATTTTCCAGTCCTAAAAGACTTACTGAATTTCTTTGAAAATTTGAGTTTAAATATCATTGAGCTTCTCCAATTTATTAAGTGACTAAGAGGATAGGAACTAAACCTGTGATTTTATTGGCCTAAAGAACTCATTGAGGAAACTTCCTCTATCAGTGCTAATCAACGTTTTCTCTGCAGCACTGAGAGGTGGTCACATAGCCAATATGTGTCAGAGGCTGGTCTTAAACCCAAGTCTTCTTGGCCCTGAGACTGACTTTCTATCCACTCTACCACTCTGCCTCTGCTATTATGATTAATAATCCCTATTAAAATCACAGATAATAAACTGACATATTTGGTATCAGAGGTACTCTTATTGCCTCTCCCCCTTCTCCACCCCTTCATTGATTTGTTTTCTCTTGTGGCATTCATTTTATCTATTGATCAATTTTATTGTGCATTCTAAATTCATATTCTCTCACTTCCTAGTACTTACTGAAATTTGAAACTGTTTATAATAGTTAATGTGTTTTGTAATCAACTTTTAAAGATTATCATATGCAGTTAAATGTGTGTGTTTTGGTCTGGTTGCCAAGAGGCTTGTTATTAGAATATGTATTTATCTTTTAGTATTATCCTTGTCAAGAGCTTCTGTGATCTGTTAAGACACACTGTAACTTCTCATATTAATTTTGGGATCTATAATTTGTTTCTTGTTTTAGTGACCCTATATGGAGTATTTACGATACAATTTTCTCCAAATATGCCATCACGTTGTCTGCTTCTTGAACTACTGGATGTCAGTGTTTCGGAACTACTTTTATATTCTAGTCACCAAGGGTGTTCCATGTGGATGATCCAGCACTGTGCCAGAGATGTTTTAGAGGCCTTGGCTTTTCTTCATCATGAGGGTTATGTCCATGCAGACCTAAAGCCACGTAATATACTATGGAGTGCAGAGAACGAGTGCTTTAAACTCATTGACTTTGGTCTTAGCTTCAAAGAAGGCAATCAGGTATGAGAGTGTCCTTTCTTCATAGTTGAAAGCAGCATGATTTAGTAATCTAAGCCAATCCATGGACTTATATTTCATAGCAGAAGTGGTTTAACTACAGTTTGGAGACAATTTTATCTGACATAATGGAATGTCAGGGAAGAAGGGAACAAAATTTGTTTTATGTCTAGCAAGTTTCCTGAGGGCACTGAGATAAGAATCTTGTATTTCTTTGGCTGCTACTGCCTTTAAAAAAACAAAAGGTTGCAAATGGAAAGGTATCACAGAATTTGTTAGTAGAAGAAAAAAGATTAAAAGGCAGCTCTCAGTGGTAATATTTGACAGTTGTCTGCCGAGGTATCTGCCTGATTGCTGTGATCCTAATGTTTGTTAAGGGTCTGGGCCACCCTTCCTACCAGAATTCATCTCATAGCTCTAATAGGCTCTCTTTATCATAGTTTATTGGGTCTCTGTTGAGTGCCCTAATTTGTTAGTAGCTCATGGACGTGAAAATTCTGTCTAAATGTACTTTTGTGCATTTATTACCCTGGAGTTCTAAGCATGCGATATGCTTGATTGTAGGAACAGCTTAACTGCTGTGCCAAAAATTAGAATAGCCATTTCATGATGCCATCAACACTACTGACTTGGCAGTGAGCTACTAGAAAGAGTATATTGTATAATAGAAAAATATGGGAGATGGAAGCATTTTCTCTTCTCAGTTGGTTTGTATTGTTCTATTCTTAATCATCTTTAGGATGTAAAGTATATTCAGACAGACGGGTATCGGGCTCCAGAAGCAGAATTGCAGAATTGTTTGGCCCAGGCTGGGCTACAGAGTGAAACAGAATGTACCTCAGCTGTTGATTTGTGGAGCCTTGGAATCATCTTACTGGAAATGTTCTCAGGAATGAAACTGAAACATACAGTCAGATCTCAGGAATGGAAGGTAAGCTGGTCCACTACTTTAATTTCGAGCATGTTAATAGATATTTCCATCATATTGACCTTTGTAAAAATGCCACTTACATAAGAATAGTCACACTGAAGACTCTGTGATCTCTCTTCTCCTACCCTCTATTGTTAACTGTGTGTGCAGCTGTGAATAAGTCACTTTCTTTGAGCCTGAGTTTTCTCATCTCTAAAATGGAGATAATGCTTGTAATACCTGCTTACCTTACAGAACTATTACGAGAATAGAATGAGATAATATATGTCAAAAGCTTGAAAAATGTAAAGCACTTGAAATGTTTTTCTTTGTTATAAGGGATTATCCAGTAGAAGGGTGGGTGGTTGAGGAGAAAAAAGTGTGCTATGAAAACAAAAGACAATCATAAAAAAATTTTTTTTTAATGTAAAATTTTCTATGTAAGGTATTTTTTGTAATTTCAGTACTTTAGGGAAGTTAGTCCCGTTATTTTATGAATAATGCCATGCTAAGAAATCAGAACAACTTTTGGTATCAGCAAGTATTTATGAGTCCCTGCTCCAGCACTTTGTACTATCACTGAACATGGATCAATCCCAACTTGTGCTCATTATATTGCTGACATTGCAGGGCATGGAAGGAGCATTCACCTAGTGTGTGCTCTTAGTGTTTACTTTGGGTGGAATGAATTTACCCAGGGGCTGACAAAGGAGGACAGAGCAGAGCTAGGATTTGAACCCAAGTCCTCTGACTCCAAATTGTTCTGTTCTTTTCACCCCAGGATTCTGCCTTCTGTTGTGTTTAAGGGATACAGTAACAAAACAAGCCTAGTATAGGAGGGAGCGCATTACTATTGTTCTCTACCATGCTTATTCATTCATTTCAGAAAAAGAGGAGATACAGTAGGAGAGAGATGCAGTTGTAAGCAAAATGTATCATACAAATAGATGTGTAAGAAAAACTGCTAGAAACCAGAGAGGGTCTTCAGGTATCACAAAATATCTATGTCAGATATGAAAAAAGATAACATGCTTTAGATACCAACTAGCTATGCTTACTGGATCAGAATACGTGCAAAGGTACATCTGTGTTCTGTACTTCTTTGAACCCTCTGGTGTAGATGGAGATTGACATAATTCCATAGATTTTTTTCTGCACTAAAAATACCTTCTAAAAGGCCCAGATTCTCACCATATGCTACAGACATTTGTAGATTATATTGCTCATTCAGTGTAACAAATAACAAGTATGGATTTTCTTTTTTTTTTAAATATATTTATTTATTTATTTTTAGTTTTCAACAACCACTTCCATAAGATTTTGAGTTCCAAATTTTCTCCCCATCTCTCCCCTCCCCCCACCCCAAGATGGCATGTAAATTGATATCGGCTCAACATATACATTCATATTAAACCTATTTTCACATTAGTCATGTTGTAAAGAAGAATTAGAACCAATGAGACAAACCACGAGAAGAAGAAACAAAAATAAAGAGAGAGAAAGCAAATAATATGCTTTGATCTGCATTCAGACTCTATAGTTCTTTTTCTGGATGTAGACAGCATTTTCAATCATGAGTCTTTGGGAGTTGTTTTAGATCGTTGCATTGCTAAGAAGAGATAAGTCTATCAAAGTTAGTCATCACACAGTGTGGCTGTTACTGTGTACAGTGTTCTCCTGGCTCTGCTCACTTCACTCAGAATCAGATCATATAATTCTTTCCAGGTTTTTCTGAAGTCTACCTGCTCATCATTTCTTATAGCACAGTAGTACTCCATTACATTCATATATCACAACTTGTTCAGCCATTCCCCAACTGATGGGCATCCCCTCAATTTCCAATTCTTTGCCACCACAAAAAGAGCTGCTGCAAATATTTTTGTACATGTGGGTCCTTTTCCCATTTTTATGATTTCTTTGGGATACAAACCTAGAAGTGGTACTGCTGGGTCAAAGGCTATGCAAAGTTTTATAGCTCTTTGGGCATAGTTCCAAATTGCTCTTCAGAATGCTTGGATCATTTCACAACTCCACCAACAATGCATTAATGTTCCAATTTTCCCACATCTTCTCCCACACTTACCATTTTCCCGTTTTGTCATGTTAGCCAATCTGATAGGTGTGATGTGGTGTCTCAGAGTTGTTTTGATTTGCATTTCTCTAATCAGTACTGATTTAGAGCACTTTTTCATGTGACTATAGACAGCTTTAATTTCTTCATCTGAAAACTGCCTTTCATATCCTTTGACCATTTGTCAGTTGGGGAATGACCTGTATTCTTACAAATTTGACTCAGTTCTCCATATATTTTAGAAATGAGGCCTTTATCAGAGATATTGGTTGTAAAAATTCTTTAATTTTCTGCTTCCCTCCTAATCTTGGTTGCATTGGCTTTGTTTGTGCAAAAATTTTTAAATTTAATGTAATCAAAATTATCCAGGTATGGATTTTCAAATCAATTATTACAAAGGAGAGCATTGCCTAAGGATCTTCCATTAAGTAGGCAGGAAAGGTCGCAAATCAAGTCATTGCCTTCTCCTGTCTTCCTGTGCTAATTTAACATTTACCAACACAACTGTTTGGTGTTGTCCAGGTACTGAACAGGAGGATGAGGCAGATCTGAAGAAAGTTTGAAATCTAACAGGCATTCCACAAAATATCTGTTCACTCAAGTTTGCACTTGATGTTTTTTTGAACTATGCTATTACATAGCTGGCAGCTAGGTGGCGCAGTGGATAGAGTGCCGGGCCTGAAATCAGAAAACTCTGGCCTCAGACACTTAAGTAGCTGTGTGACCCTGGGCAAATCACTTAACCCTGTTTGCCTCCGTTTCCTCATCTGTCAAATGAGCTGGAGAAGGAAATGGTAAACCACTCCGGTGTCTCTGCCAAGAAAACCCCAAAATGGGGTCATGAAGAGCTGGACATGACTGAAGTGACTTACAACAACATTATGCGATGTTTTTTGTGCTAGAGTTCATTTACACATCACTTATCCTTAATCATACATGTGTTGTAAGATCATTGAGGCCAGATACTGTGTCCTATATTTTTTATCCCCATAACACTTAATATATTGTTAGAAGAAATATTCAATGCTAGTAGGATTGAATCGAGTTACCAAAAGATGTCCTTTCTTCCTCTTTCTCTTCTCCCTCAGGCAAACAGTTCAGCTATTATTGATCACATATTTGCCAGTAAAGCTGTGGTGACCTCTGCAATCCCAGCCTATCACCTCAGAGACCTTATCAAAAGGTACATTACACACTTCTGAAATTTGCTGTGATTAGTAAATGAGGTTCAAATGCGTAAGAGGTTTTGCTCTCTAAGAAGTACTTGCATATCCTATAGAAGTTACTTTGTATTAAGAGTCAGAATTCTAAGATGGCTTAACTGCTACATTGTGGTGCAGTGCAGTGCTGGAAGTGGGGCCAGGAGACCTGGGCTTGAATCCTGGTTCAGGCATTTGGTCAGCGTGCTCCTCTGCAAGTTGCTAAACTTCCCTGTATGTGATTATTTCTTGACTGTGAAGTGTAGGAACAGTAATAGTTATGTGACAGTGTTCTGGGAATCTTGAAGTGATATCTAAATCTTTTATTATTCATGTTGTATTCAAAAGAATTATGGGCTGCTTTTTGTTGAGAACCAGATGCTGTGCCCTTTCTAAAACTGACCTGGCAACTGTTTGTTAACTACTGGTTAAAAAAAAAAAATCTCTGTTTCCTTGGCCTCTTGAAGCTTTGGGCGGATGTTTATACTTGAGGGAGAAGGAGAACATTTTTAAAGTCACTTAGATATTGAATCAGTTACTTAATCTCTGTGCCTTAGTCTTGCTATCCATAAAGTGAAATAAATATTTTCATTACTTGCTATTCCTCCACAACATTTTTGTAATGATAAAGTAAGATAATATTTGTGAAAATGCTTATGAAGTAAGAAGCACAATAATTCAGATTGTTTAATTCTACATTTTTCTCCCAGTTTTCACTGAGCTTATTGATCAGAAGTGGATGATCAGTGAACTTCCTGGTACAAAGGAAAAGGGGCACCCAAATGATCCCAAAATGAAGTACAATATTGTCTATGACATTTAAAACAAAAATCCTGATAATTTTTTATAACATATCAAACATTTACAAAATTATTTATTTTTAAGAGCCTTTTAGGGGCAGGAATGTTTCTGAGATCTTTCAAACAAATCCAAATACACTGTGTATAGCTTATAAGTAAATAATAATGTGGCATATTAATATGACATTTTTTGGTTTCTGGCCATATGGAGCAGAAGTGAGCATGCTGTAGAGGGAGGTTGTGGAAAAATGGATGTCACGATTGAATTATGGTTTCACAAATATTGTTTTACACATAGGTTTACTAACTCAAATTAATTTTTAATTAGCTGGGATTAGTTTAAATCATTTGCTATTCCATTTAAAATAACTCCAACAATATAAAATACTTAGGAGTCTACCTGCCAAATAAACCCAGGAACTGTATGAACACAGTTACAAAACCCTTTTCACACAAATAATGTCAGATGTAAACAATTGGAAAAATATCAATTGCTCATGCGTAGACCAAGTCAATATGAAAATGACAATTCTATATAAATTAATTTACTTACTCAGTGCCATACCAGTCAAACTACCAAAAACTATTTTATAGAGCTAGAAGAAATAGTAACAAAATTCATCTGAAAGAACAAAAGGTCAAGAACATCAAAGTAGTTAATGAAAAAAAATGCAAATGAAGGTGGCCTAGCCATACCAGATCTCAAGCTATGTTATAAAATGGCAGTCATCAAAACTATCTTGTACTGGCTAAGAAATAGAGTGGTGGATCAATGAAACAGATTAGGTATGCAGGACACAGTAGTAAATGACCATAGTAATCTAGTTTTTGATAAATTATTTATTGTTGCACTAGCCTATATTCAGCCTTGAAAGGAGAATTTAAGGACTGAAAAAACTGGATAATTAACATTCTACTTGAAAGGCAGAATAACCTAATAGAAAGAGACTAGAATAAAAATTTAGGAGATATAAGTCCCATTGCTGGCTTTATTGTTTGGAGAGAGTTATCTTGGGCAAATCATGCATTAACTTGACATATGTCTCCTGCTCAGAAATTTTCTTTAGATTGCTGTAGCCTGTTGACTAAAGTTGATTGGTGTTCAAGGCCCTGAGCAATTCAATTCAATTCAACAAGCATTTATGTAGTGGCTTTTCTTTCAGGTACTCGGTGCTTGGTTCTGGGAATTCAAAGGGAAAAGATAGGCCCTGCTGTCATGGAATTTACCTGTTAGCCGGGGGAGGGAGAAGGGAATATGGAGGAGAGCATATAAAAAAAAATCTCACATGGGGAGAGTAAAGACATGCTCAAAGGGAGAGTTTCAGACAAAGTCTTAGGTTATGTCGGAGGAGGAGCTGACCACGCTCTGGTATTGCCTGCCACCTGCCTTCTTAGACTTTTCTCTTAGTTCTCAGGCCTGGTCTTTGTTCCAAGAACAGTCCCTCAGTGTGAACTCTGCCACTGCTGTGTCTGTGCTTTATGGTTTCCTAACACTGCAGTATCCCCTGCCCTCTCTGTTTCTTTCATAATCTGACTTAGGCGCCACTGCCAGGAGGCATTTCTCAGTCCTTCATATCAGAGGCTTGTTTTGCATCTCTGCGACATACTTGACACAAGTTACTGTATGTCAGAGTTGTTTATATTTGTGTCTTACCCCCCTCTTCAGCTGTCAGCTCCTTGAGGCTCTTGTCTAACCTTTGGATCCCCTCTATGGCCAGCAGGACATTGAACCCAGTTGGTGCTTAATGAGTGTTTAATGTTGAATTGGTTATTTAATCTCTTTGTGCCTTGGTCTTGCTATCCATAAAGTGAAATATATATTCATTACTTGCTATTCCCCCACAGCATTTTTATGATGATAAAATAAGATAATATTTGTGAAAATGCTTATGAAGTAAGAAATACAATAATTCAACTTGTTGAATTTTATTTTTTCCCCCCAATTTTCACCAAGCTTATTGATTAAAAGTGGATGATCAGTAGATTTCTCAGTGCAGAGGGAAAGGAGATCCCAGTGAAAGTGGTGATTCTTTAACATCACTGTAAATTATATTTATCATTTCAGATGCATATGAAACAGTTTCCGCTAACTTTAAATTTAGTTTCTCTTCTTTTTCTCACTGTTAGTATGTAGACTTTGTAGCTCAACTTTGCAATGATACCAGGAACTTTTCAATATATTATTTTAAATGGTTGTATTTTAGAGACATTGAATTAAAAAAGAAAATTCTTTCCTCTTTTAGCATGCTTCATGATGACCCGGGCAGAAGAATTCCAGCTGACATGGCACTGTGCAGTCCCTTCTTTAGCATTCCTTTTGGTAAGTGATGGTTGTAAAATACAAATTCTCTTTTGATCAGTTCAAAATCACCTGTATTATTGGAGTTAATGAATATTCTCAGTTAATTCACTTTTCTTTTTGCCCTTCTACTGCTATCTACCAAATTGTTTTTTCAGAGTGTTCTCATTTTAACAATGTAACCTGTTTTCATAGCCCCTCATATTGAAGATTTGGTAATGCTTCCTACTCCTGTGCTAAGACTGCTGAATGTTTTGGATGATGACTATCTTGAGAATGAGGAAGAATATGAAGGTAAATCAGTAATAACTATCTGTAATCTTAACAGAGAATTAGGGAGGGCTAGTGGTTTGAGTTTTTAGATATTTTTAGTTGTATATTTTAAAATTGAGATTTTTCTTCAGCACATTTACTTTTTTTTTTTGTCTTCAGGTCATTCAAAATTGCTCATGAGGTGCCTTTTCCTTTCTTATCACTCCTTTTTCTCTGTTATTTTTCATTGTACTCTGTATACCAGTTCCCAGGTCTAGATTGTCACATCATTTTGCCCTTCCCATATTTAATGCTATCCCTCCCTCCTCTCACTTAAAATTTTGCCCCAAACTCCTTTTTCTATGAAACTTTCCCAGGCTAACCTCACCTAGTTTTAGTCACCCAGTTATTGCCTTGAATACTTCCTTCCACCCTTCTTCATACTTAGCCAAGTGTACAATTCCAATAGCTATGACTGTTTATAGACTTTCTATGTTTTTGTCTGTGTTTATTTTACCTTTGTGGGTATCTTATATCTTCCTTTATATGTTCCTTAATGACAGGGCCACATGTAACTTTTCTTTGTATCTGCCCTGTGCCAACCATAGGGCTGGAAACACAGTGGGTAGCCTTTAAATGTCTGAATTACTGCTTTTCATACTGTTAAATTTTGCAAGTTTTATGCTTCTGTAGCTCTTATGAAGTATTAAGATAATTCTTTATTGAAATAGCTTTCTAATGCTTAAATTTTTATTAATTCAGATGGGCAACATCATTATATGATAGTATTTGCTGAGTTCAAATAGTTTGTTCCATCAGAAGCTGTCATAAAAATTAAATGGTTATTTAAAACTTACATTGATCTTTAGAGTACTAGAGAAAGTACCTGGTTTCTCATTTCTGGACTATTTGATATTCTAAATCAAATGAGTTTACATGTGCAAAGTACTTGGCAAACTTCAGAGTGCTGTATAAATGCTAGCTAGTATTAAATGTTTTAATAAGAGAAAGCTTGCTAATTGTAAGCAAGGGAGTAACTGTCATTTTCCTTTAACAATCAGATGTGGTAGAAGATGTGAGAGAGGAGTGTCAGAAGTATGGACCAGTGGTGTCTCTGCTTGTTCCAAAGGAGAATCCTGGCAGAGGTCAGGTAAGCAGACTGTGTGAGAGCAGGAGAGGTACAGTCCACATGAATTAAATGAGCATTTAAAAAATATTTTTCTTATTTCAACATTTGCTAAGCACCTGCCTGTGCAGTGCACCATACTTGGTGCTAGAGATTCAGAGCCAGAGATGGAGCAACCCTTTTTTTAAGGAACTTAGCCTCTGCTGAGAGATGGAGCATATAGTAAAGTGGGAAAAACACTGGCTTTGGAGTCAGAGGATCCAGGTTCAAAACTTCACTCCTAATGCTTACTACCAGATAAACTTGGGCAGATCACTAGACTTCCTTGATCTTAGTTTCCTTATCTGTAAAATAAGGAGGTTGCATTAAATAGCTCCACATCTGTAATCCTGTGTACACAGATATGCACAAGATAGTTTAATAATAAATGCAGGGTATTTTGAGGAAAGAAAGACATCCACACACTTGAGGAGTCAGAAAAGGTATCACAGAAGTGCCATCGGAATGGAACCCAAAAGAGCTTAAGGATTCTGAAATACAGAAATGAGGTGATGCCTTTTTGCCATGTGGGGACAGATTGTGTGAAAACGGGGGCTGTGTTTATGGAATTTTGGATATGGGAATCAAATGATCACAGAATTTTGCAGTTGGAAGGGACCTCAATGGCTGTCTGGTCCAATCTATATATGAAAGAAATCCTTCCTATAACATACTCTGCACCTGGTTATTCAGTCTCTGCTTAAATAGTATAAATTAAACACCTGCTATGTGCCAAGAGCTGGAAAGCAATAAGTAATCCAGTTTGACAGAAACATAAAGTTTATGAAGGAGAATAATGTTAAGACTGAAAAGACAGGTTGGAAATAAATTGTAGAGAGGCTTAAAAGCTAGGCTGACAAGCTTGTATTTTATTCTGGATTATCCTGTAGGCAGGTGTCAGACTGATAACCTACAAAACTCCTGAGTGCTGCATGAACCAGATTAAAGTGTTAATTGGGAATGTTTAAGAAAATAAAAATACAGTAAATGATAGATAATATTAATTTGTGTTTTTTTTTAAATTATCGTATGGCCTGTAGGGCTGTCTTCTTATTTGAGGCTGATATTGCAGCTATAGGCAGTAGGGAGTCACTGAAGGTTTTTGAGCGGGCAGCAACCTGATCAGAGCTGTCTCTTAAGATTATTTTCACATCCATGCAGAGGTTGAATTGGAGAGAGGAAAGTGTGAGGGCAGTGAAATTACTTAGGCTATTATAATAATCTAGGTGTGAGGCAACAAAGTCCTAACTGTTGATGGGATTGTGAGTAGAGGAAGCGGTGGACATAAATGAGTTATTGTGAGGGTACAATTGATACGGGATGAGTAAAGAGTCAAGGATGATGTCATGAATAAAAATCTGAGTGACTAGTAGAAGAGTGCCTTCCAAAGAAACAGGTTGGAAAGAAGGATGAGCTTGAAGGGGGGAGAAGGGATTGATGATAATTTCCATATTTTGACGTCATGATTTTGAGATTCCTATAAGACATCCCGGTAGAGACAGGCAGTTGATCATACAAGACCAGATATAAGGAGAAAGATTAGGGAATAGAAGTATGGATTTGAAATCCAGGATTTTTGTTTATTGATGACTTATTATATTAAGTATATTCCCCCCCCCAAAAAAATAAATGTATATATTTGCATTTAGTTCAAACAGTGGAGTTATGTGAATTTTACTTTTCTGTTTTGTCTGATGCATGGTATTTATAATGGAATTTTGTAGAAGCGACACTTGAGAAAAACAAAGTAGAGATTAGAGAGGTCAGGTAGTATAGTAGCAAGTACAATGAAACCAGGCTCAGAAAGCCAAGCTTGTAGCACAGACTGCCAGAAGCTAATTGTGGCTTGGGGGCCTCCATTTTCACATCTTTAGTATGAATGAAACTGTTGTCCTAAGTGATCCTACAGGTTTTTTTTGTTTGCTTTTGGGGGTTATTTTTTTGCACTTTGATACAATATGATCTTGTGGTTCTAAGTGAAATTCAGTAGTTAGTGAACTTAAGAAGAGGGCCTCCTTATGTCTGGAAAATTTTTATTGTTGCCAAAACAACATGAAAGACAGATCTCATTCTGCTTCTTATACAGAGAGATTCCTTACTATAAAATTTTACTGACCATGGATTATTTTAATCCAGACTTATTTTATGTATGGGAAATTCCTAGTGTGGAAAGCTCTCTCCACTGATGCGTATCAGCAGTTTGTCCATAATTTATGGTCTCAGAGAGATGCCTGGACAAGGAGAGGTTAAAAGATCTGGCCATGGTCTCACAGCCAGTCTGTATTAGGACAAGAGTAGAACCAAGGTTTTTGTGGCTCCAAAGGTTAGCCCTCTGGTCACTACACTATGCTGCTTCTCAGGTGTTTGAATTAAAAGAGAGAAAAAAAACAATTTCTTCCATTATTAATAAAACATTATTACTGCATATTACACTTAACTCTGTGACTGCCAGGAGCATACTAAATCTGATTCTTCTTTTCTGCATCCTTATTCGTACCCCAGCCCCTCCATCCTGGGACCCTTTTTCTTCCCTCTTTCCTCTTTCTCAGAGATCTCATCAGCTCCCACAGATTCAGTTATCATCTATATACAGATGACTCACAGATCTATACATCCATCCCTAATCTCTCCTGAACTTATCAGGCTTCACCAACTACCTATTTGATGTTTGATACTGAATGTCCCACAGATATCTTAAACTCAGTATGTCCCCAACTGAACTCATCATCTTTTATACTCAAACCCTCTTCTCTTCTGTCCTTCCCCCTCCTTTTTTTTCTTTTCTTTTTTGTTGAGCCTACTGCTGTCTTTCCAGTCACCCAGGTTTTTAACCTAGGAGTCGTCCTCAACTATTCATATCCGTTGCCAGTGTCTCCAAATAGCCAGTCAGTTGCAGAGTTGTGTCAATTCCACTTCTAAAACACCCCTTGCATTTGCCCCTTTGTCTACAGCACTCTTGTGTAGGTCCTCATCACCTTTTGATTAGAATGGGGAACCTGCAGCCTTGAGGCCATACGTGGCCCTCTAGGTCCTCAAGTACAGCCCTTTCAAACTTCACAGAACAAATCCACTTAATAAAAGGATTTGTTCTGTAAAACTTAGACTCAATCATAAGGCTGCACCCAAGGACCTAAAAGGCCACATATGGCCTTGAGGTCACAGGTTCCCACCTCTGGCACTAGACTATCAAGGTGGCCACATAGTTGTATCTTCCCTCTACAGTCCATCCTCCATATAACAGCCAAAGTGCTACCCCTAAAGTATGGATCTGACCTTGTCACACCCTTGCTTGAAAAGGGCAGTGACTTTATAGGGCCTCCCTCTGTTTAGCATTTAAAGACCTTGGTGATTTGGCTCCAGTCTGCCTTTGCAGGTTTACTATCACTTAATTCCCCTCACACTCCATATGATAGCCAGACTGGCTTCTTGCTGTTCTTACATCATATTCCCTCTCCTTTTTCTCTGCCTCTGAACAGGCTGGTCTCCATGCTTGGAAGGCCCTCCCTCCTCACCTTTGCCTCTTAGAACTCTGAGCTTCCATCAAGCTCAGCTTAGTGCCACTATTTATATCAGTCAGCAAGCTTTTATTAAATGCCTGTTCTATGCCCAGAACAGCGCTAGGCACCGGGGATACAAATTCAGAGAATGAAACAATTTCTACTAACGTGAGAGACAAAGCATATGTAAAAAATGTTCACAACAACCCTGAGAGGTGGGTGTTATTCTTGTCTCCATTTTACGGATGAGAAAAATGAGTCATAGGGAAGTTATGTGACTTGCCTAGGGTCACATAGCTAGTAAGTACCTGAGACTGGATGTCAACTCAGGTCTTCCTGACTCCAGATCCAGGAGTCTATCCCCTGGGCTACCTTGCTGCCCCTGGATGTTGTTTCCCTTCAATAGACTGTGAGCTCCTTAAATCCCGGGATTGTTTTGTTTTGTCTTTGAATACCCAGTGCCTAGCACATAGTAGCTTATAGTAGCACGTAGTTGGTTGATTGGAAGGTGGGGTGAGATTTTTTTTTAAAATGTTTCTATCATTTAAAAGTTCAAAGTATTCAGAGAGCTCTTCCCTGTCACATTCTGTCTTATTTGATATTGTCAAAAGTGGGGTGTGGTGTAGTGGAAAGAGAACTTGGAGGCATCAAGAGGCTTGGATTAGAGTTGCAGCTTTGCCAGTGTCTCCAACTAGGCAACCTTGGATTTATTGATTGAAATGCATGTAGACCTAATCACTTTCCCTCTCTAGAGATGTTGAAAGCCAAACATAGAAGATAAATACCAAAATAAAAAAGTTTGTTGACTACAAGAGACATCTGCCTTTTATATAGTATGGACAAGTGGAGTCTTCAAAGAATAAAGGGCATTTGCCAAATGTATATTACATATATTTTTACCTTTAAGGCAGAGTGAACCTATGAGACTGTCATAATAAATTGTCATAAATGCTACAGGACATCTTAAGTTCTAATTCTGAGAATATTAGGTACAAGTACAATTAAGGTCGGATTTTAAAATGATAATAACATGAGCTTACAATTACATAAAATATAGTACTTTGTAGCTTCCAGAGTGCTTTCATAGCCATTATATTATTTGCTTCTCAGAATAATCCTTTGAGACAAGATAGATACTCACATATATACATATATATACATGTATGTATATATATCTATGTGTATATATATACACACACACACACATATTCATACACATATCCCAAAGCAACATTATCCCTATTTTATAGATCAGGACATGGAAACCTGGATAAGTTAAGTGATTTGCCCAAGGTCACAGAGGTAATAAGTGAGCAGAGGTGGGCATTAAACCTCAATTTTCGGACTCATAAACCCATGGGTTGTTTTGTTTTGTTTTGTTTTTTGTTTGTCTCTGTTACATCACAATGCTCACTAATAGGTATTTTAAAAATACCTGTTTAAATAAATGAACTCATTTTTGGGGGGGGAGGGGTTATTAGGTCTGAACCTGTGATTTCATTGATACAGAAATCTCAGGGAGAAAATTACATCTACTAATGCTGATTAGCCACAGTTCTGTTCTGCAATTTAGAAGCTGTTTGCAATATTGAAATTCTTTGTGGGCCTTATCAAATGAAATTTAAGCCTCAGAGATGTTTCTTTGGGAGGGGAAAAAAATGCCATATTGGGATGAAATACACTAGTGTGTTAAACCTCAGATTTTTTGATGAAACACAAATCAAATTACAGGTTTGTTTGTTTGTTTTTTTCCAACAAAGACCTAATGAATCAATTTGAGCCAGAACCAAAGGAACAATTATTGACTTACCAATTTTTTTAAAATTTTGAGATTACAGATAAAAGTGCTAAAAATCTTCTGAACCCAGAATGTGAACTTTGTATAATTTAGAATAAGGAGAGTATGCAACAGTGGAAGCCAACAGTTGAAAATCTGATTTAACTGCATAAAAAATACACTCATTTTATACTGGCAGAATCCTTAATCAATAGGCATGTCATAAACCTAGCTGTCTTGTGTTCAAGAGCTGCCCTTGAGAGAGATATTAGAGTTGTAGCTGAGAAGTTCTTCTTTAAAAATAAATCCTTCTCTAAACCACAATCTAATTTTTATTTCATCTCTTGCCGAATTGGAATGTGTGACACAGGAGCTGGGGAATAATTCTTGAACTAATTACATGTTGTACCCAGAATATGTTATTGAGGTTTATAAAACCTCTACCAAAGTAGGCTTTAGTCGGAGAAAATGCTGGGGTAATTGTGAACCAAACATGGCACAGATATTACCATTTAAAAGGAGGCCAATATATTTGAAATGGAGAAACCATTCATCAGAGAATAATGCCCATTACATAGCTTTGCTGTTAAATTTCAAAAGATAAGCTACAGAAGTGTCTCTCTCCCTTTTCTATACTGAAGCAAAATACTGATGTTATTGGGTCAGGCAATGACAAAATGAAGATAAGTTTTACTTTCTATCTCAGATGAGAGTGGAAATGCTGTGAGTCAGATAGTGGTAGAGAAGTAGTAGAGTATAACATATAAGTTGTATATAATACCACTTGTAACTGCCCTTTGGATGAATGATCTCCACGTATCAAACTAGATATTTCTGTGAAGACAGGGTCCCTAGGCTAAAATTTAAGGACTGTTTGGCCAGTTATTCCCTTTCTAAAAAGTTGAGGTTACCTTTAGGAAAATATACATTGCTTTCTGGAGTCATCTAAACATGTCCTTTGTGGCTAACAGTGTCTACCTCTGTACTATTCATATAGTAAAAATGTAACCATTTTCATTTAAACTTTGAACTTTTAAGTAGAATTGTATTTTAAGAAAGTGCTTCAACAGGGGTTTTGACGCAAACAAACTTAATGTTACTTTCTCTGTCCTTCTTAGGTCTTTGTTGAATATGCAAATGCCGGCGACTCCAAAGCTGCCCAAAAATTACTGACTGGAAGGATGTTTGATGGGAAGTTTGTTGTGGCCACATTCTACCCACTGAGTGCCTATAAGAGGGGATATCTGTACCAAACCTTGCTTTAATCACTGACCTGCTGTCAGGAGACTTCTTGAAGCTCCTCTTATTCCATTTTCTAGGTTATTGTGTTTCCCATCTGAATGCAAAAGAAGCTTACCATCCTAATGGGAGTAATTTGTATATTTAATCCTATTGGCCTACCGCGTTTTCCAAACAGTGATTGCAAACTAAATCCTATTTCATACTGGGTAGGACAGGACCTTCTGCCTAAACACTGAAGTGTTTTATAGCATTCATGTGACATCCCTTGTCTCAGCAGTAGGGCAGGTGCTGACATTCAATATAGAATCCAGAAAAAAGTAATTCAGTAGTG